AGGAGACACATTCCTTCCTTGGGTAATATACACCGAAGGGCCAAAGAATGAAAGAACATGACATACCGAGCTGTAAATGTCTTAGAAAAACCATGCATGCATACATATGGAGACTTCAGAAAGTTTGCAAAGATGGAATGAAAACATAAGTATATTGTGGTGTAGGGAATTTGCAATTCATGCTTAGAGTGGTTGTAACAATTTCCATGAACATTGTTGAAAATGTGTGCGTGTGGGGGTGTGTGTGTACAGAGGAACAGGAAGCAAATGTGATAAAATGTTGCAAATTAAACTGATGAAAAATGTTTGTTACCTTAATAAAAATTATTTCAAAATAAGTTTTTTTTAAAGCCCACATTTTTGCGGTGCTATCCCCCAAATCAAAATGTAGAACAACAACAAAACACCCAGTGGTCTCCTTTACTCAAGAATAAATTGGGCACCAGCCACTCTTGCTCCTAAACTGGGTCCAGCCCAACTGCTGAGACAGGCTAGCTAGCGCGTGCAAGGACACCAAGCTGTGACTCTCTAGATAAAGGGAGAAGACCCAGGAAACTGCCAGGGGAATGACCTGCTCTCTGCAGGCCTTATTGCTGGCACTGTTCACCGGAGCCCAGCTCTGCCCTCTGCACGACAATCCTTGGCATTGGTTGAGGGGGCCGCAAATTGAGGTCAGTGGGAAAACAGATCTGTTGCACACGATGGAGTGAGTGAACAGAAAAGAATGTTGTCATCCGACCCCCACCCGCAAAGGGACAGCCTGGGAGCCCCGGGGGTTGGTTCTGAATATCCTCATGCTGCCCAGCATAGAAAACAGGAAACATCAGTTAAAATGGGAAATTGCTGTGGGCTGAATTACTGTAATTCCTCCTCCGCTTTAGAAGTTGGCAGGCCCCTTCATCCCCAGCATGACGTCTCCTGCTTTTCTGCGCCTTGATCCTTCTGCCCTGTCTTCAGGGGGTGGTGCATCACCCAGCTTGAAAGGCTTTTATATTGCAATCGCTGCCTTTAAGTGTACTTAGAAATTGTGTATGTGTGTGTATTTTAAGGAGCTGTTTGCTTTTCCCCCTGTCCCTAGGTTAAAAGCTGTGTAGCTCTCTAGTAGCTCCAGGTTCCCCCCTCCTCCTCCCTCTTCATTTCCAAGAAGGTGAGATGAGTCCGCAGAGGGACTTGCCATCTACCTTAACGCTCCCTCTCAGCAAGCGATGCAGCCTTTACCATGCTAGACAGAAAAACACAGGTACATCCTCCAGAGCTGCTGAGCCTAGCTGGAAATTGGCTCTGGGGGATCGGCCTCCGTTCCTTGGGATGGCTCAAGTAAAAGCACAGAGAGGACTGTACCAGCCCTTCCAAGCTGTCAGTGCGAGGTAATTACACCTGCTCTCTGCCTTCCCAAGAAGAGCTGTTGGAGGATTCCCATGAGGTGATTGAGGGCTCCGTGGACTTGACATGTGAATGCAGGTGGCATGGCTCATTCTCTCAGTGCTTGGGGATCTGCCACCAGCCTTTAGGCCCTCTGCCTCTGGAGGGAAGGCAGCTTTTCTGTGTGACCTGGGCTGCACCCACTGATAGAGATTCCATCTTGGCTGCCTGTTTCCTGTTACCAATGCCAAGTGCCTGGCCTTGCCTTCCTGGCCCCTCCTCAGCCGGCATTATTTTTCCTACTTAACCTGTGCTGTGTTTTGTTGGACTTAGATTCCCCCTTCTTTTCAGTGTGTTCTCCCAAGGAGCTAGGCTTGATGCAAGCACAAATGATCTTACTGCATCCTTATCATCTTATGTTTCTTGTCTTCATGAATCCTTTACCCCCTTCCTTTTTTTTTTTTTTTTTTTTTTTTTAATTCTAAACTCTGAAGTATCCTGACTCTGTAAGGGTTTTTAGTTCTTTGTTGAGCAGATGTTTACAGTGCTGTTCACATGGGCCTATTAGAATGAGGTGACGACAAGAAAGAGGCAGACCGCCTCAAGGAACCTCGTGAGAGGGGAGATGTTGATAAGCCTTCAGTGGAGTGCTGGTGGGGAATTGTGTCTGTACTCTGACAGCTGCCATTTCTTACAAGGTGAAGGCACTTGCAGAGGGAGCATCAACCTTAGTGCTTCAGGAATGGATGGGACATTCAGCCCAAGGGAACAGAACATGATGGACCAAGGTGAAGCAGTACTAGGTTCCCCTACAGAGTCTCAGGTGATCTGGAGGTAGAATTATGGAGCATTTGGGGAAAGAAACATTGTCAGGAGAGTTTGGCTTTGAATGCCTGGCTGGGGAGTTTGAACTACATTGACTGGTCCTCAGGAGCTCCCCTAAGGACAAGGGAAACTGTGGGTCTGGAAGACCCAAAGCCACTGCCAGGCAAGTTTGAGACAAACAGGAGCCCTGGGCACAAAGGTGTATGTGCTTCCCTGAGTTCCTGTGGCTGATGTCCAACACTAGGGTTGAGAGGGCCAAAATACTGGCTTTCCTAGGATGTTTTTTGGCATATGGATGATTACGTTCAAGTGTTCTTTATTCAAAGTTATCATTATCCAAGTACAGATTGCAAGAGTTTGGATATGATGCAAAAAGGAATAAGGCTATATCCCAAACTGTTTGGTTCCTATGCTTGAACTAGGAAGTAGAAAGATCCCAGATAGATTTATGTAAGAGTTCCAATAAATCTTCTATTCTCTTGCTGCTTTAGGAGTTCAGATGGTGAGAGAGGGCTACAGTTGAAGCAGGTGGTCCAGGACAGTTGAAGAACCTTCTGAGAAGCCTGAACCTTCTACAGAATCCACGCCCAACCATCTCAGTCTGTTAGTTAGATCATTTACTTGCATAAACTTTTCATTTGAATCTGTCATTGGGCACAAGAATTTTAAGTACTTTGTTCACTTTGCTTTCCGAAGGAACTTCTCCCTTGAATCTCTCCCTACTGCCTGCTGATTTTCAGGCTTATGATTTGCCCCTGCCAGCACCAGCTACTTCCTGAACACCCACCGTGTCCTAGGTCTTGGAGAGAACACATTGAGTAGGGTTTGCGTTTCTTCACATTTTAAAAAAAGATTTATTTTTATTGCAAAGTCAGATATACAGAGTGGAGGAGAGACAGAGAGGAAGATCGTCTGTTTGATGATTCACTCCCCAAGTGACTGCAATGGCCAGAGCTAAGCCGATTTGAAGCCAGGAGTTTTTTCCGGGTCTCCGACGTGGGTGCGGAGCCCTAAGGCTTTGCGTTTTCCTCTACTGCTTTCCCAGGCTACAAGCAGGGAGCTGGATGGGGAATGGGCAGCCTGGATTAGAACTAGCACCCATAAGGAATCCCGGCACGTTCAAGGCAAGACTTTAGTTAGCCTCTAGGCCACCACGCGAGGCCTGTTTCTTCACATTTTATCTGGGGCATTGCTGGGATCCTAAGGACCCGATGGGTTATATATACTCTTATGTACATGATTGACTAAGTCATCAAAGTGGTTAGTATGGACAGTTTTATGCTAAGGATTTTGATCAGCAGTGAAAAAATACTAAGCAACCTAATTGTCCATATTTATGGGACATAGTATGATAATTCATGTATACAATGTGCAGTGGTTATCAGGGTAATCAATAAGTCTGTTAGCTCAAATGGTTCCCATCTGTTTATGCTGGGATTCAAAGTTCTCTCTTCTAGTGATTTTGAAATGTGAGATTGTTGTCAACCAGTTATGCTGTGCTGTAGAACATTAGAAGCTATTCCTCTTAACCTAACTGTACTCCTGTACCCATTATTCTTTTCATCTCCCCTCACCATCCCACTCTGCCCCAAACTTCCCAGTCTCTAAAACCTACTAGTCTGATTTCTATTCCCATTAAATCAACTTTTTAGCTTTTTTTTTGTAGTATGAGAACATACAATATATGTCATTCTGTGCCTGACGTTCTAATTAACGTAATATCCTCTAGTTTTACTATGTTGTAGCAGGATTTCATTGTTTGTTATGGCTGAGTAATATTCCAAAGTGTGTATAGACCACATTTTCCCTTCCTTCTTTTCCCTTCTCTTCCTTTCTTCCATATTTTATATTTATATGAAACACAGGTTTACAGAGAGAGCTTCCTGCTGCTGGTCCACTATCCTAAATGGCCTCAACAGCTGATCTGAAACCAAAAGCCAGGAGCTTTTTCCGGGTTTCCCACATGGATATAAGGGCCCAAGGACTTGAGCCATCCTCCATTGCTTTCCCAGATCATAAGCAGGGAGCTGGACTGGAAGTGGAGCAGCTGGGACACAAACTGGTACCCAAATGAAATGCAGGTATCACAGGTAGAAGAATACTGTGTTATACCACTGCACTGGCCCCATATCTCTTTCTTCATTCATATATCAGTGGACAGATTTCCTTGCTTAAGTTGTGAAAAATGCTGTAATGAACGTGAGAGTGTGGCTATCCCTTTAATGATTTCTTTTCTTTGGATTTATTCCCAATTGATAAGCACCTGACTTTGAGTCTCTGGCTTTTGCATGAACAAAGCTTGGACAAGTGTGCTAAACAAACGACTCTCAGCTCACTGTCCACTAAGCCTGACCCAGCTTGCTTGTGTCAGAGAACCCATCTCACTCCTCACTCCTGCCCTCTCCCCTCACTCACAGTTTTCTTTGACCCCATGGAGGACTTTCTAGTTGGCTTATATTTGTGGCCCTGCTTGGAAGTTTAGTGAAGCCTCCTCTAACCTCCTGGATCTATCTCAATACTTCCCTATTTTTATAGCATCTCTCAATGTCTAGCATAACCTCTTTTTTTTTCTATATTGACTTTCTGCTTCACACATGAAACAGATAAGCATGACTGAGTACTCTCATTCACTGGTTTACAGATGCTTGTAATGGCCAGAACTGGACTGGGGCCATAGCTGGGAGCTGGGAACTCAATCTAGATCTCCCACATGAGTGACGGGAACCTAATGACATGAGCTGCCTCCCGGGATCTGCGCTGGCAGGAAGCTGAAATCACTAGCTGATGCTGGTTACTGACCTCAGGTTATTTGATGGGGGGTGTAGGTGCTTTTATGGGTGTCTCGAGCATTAGGCCGAGTGTCGGCCACAACTGCACTTTCTGAGAAGTCAGTAGAGAATGCCTGACTTGATGTTCCTGGCCCACTCCTTGCTTGTAAAGTCTAGACGTGGATATCCATCCAATGCTGATACTGTAAAGTGGGGTAGAGAAGGTAAAAAAATTTTAGAGCCACAGGTTGATTTGGACAAGTTATGCAGCTTCTTTGTGCTAAGTATTTCTCATCCTTAAGAATGATTAACAATGCCAACCTTACAGGTTGGTTGGGGCAATTCAATGAGCGAATACATGTTCCATTGTTGCTTAGCACACAAAAGGCCTTCAATGAAAGCTTGGTTGGAATTGCGTCTTAGCCTTGCAAGTTGGAATGTTTGCACATTGCCTTTCTTATTGTTGTCCCTGTGTTTTGTTCGATTGGAGAGATGCTTTGACAGCTTGCAGGTACTTGTTCACTCCCCAGTACAGTGGCAGGGGCTAGGCAAAGGGGCCAGAGCTGGGGCTGGGAATGCAATGCAGGTCTCCCATCTGTGTGACAGGAACCCAGCTACTTGCATCCTGACTGCTGCCTCTCAGGATTGGCATTGGCAGAAAGCTGGAATCAGGAGCCAGAGCCTGGACCCAGACCTTACCACTGTGGTTTGTAAGGTGCATGTCTTCACTGCTAGCTGAAATACACACTCTCTGCCTTGCTTGTTTTATTACTTATAATGGTCATGCGAAAGGAGCACTTTGTTGAATCGTGGACTGTTTCTCTCATCACAGTACAGGCTTTTCATACTGGTGGCGTTTGGAATCATTGGTGCCCCCAGTAAAGGGGCTCCAGTAAACTGGCTTTCCCAACCCAGCAACCATGATGCCCTCATCAGCTTACGAGGGAGGCCTCCTTTAGTACACTCCCACCTGTCCCCCAGCTCCAATCCTGGGACAGAGAATTCTCTGGACAATTTATGCAGGTCCATCTCTCGTTATTTCTCCAGCTACATGGCTGACTTAGGTAGCAGAGAGAGGGTTATATTCAGGACCTCCCCATCCCCCCAAGTGGGTGGGCCCATGGTCATTTTTCAGCCTGGTGTGTAGCTGTCGCACTGTCACAGAGTTGAAAGCTTCATCACAATGGTCAGGAAATTCATAGGGAAGGTTACTACAGCAACCTTAACTCGGCTCTGAAAAGCATAGCCTGTACAATGGGGCCTTTCAGAGCCCAGAACTGGGCAGGGATTCAGCTTCTTCGCAGCACAATGGGGCAAAACAGAATGGAAAGGAACTAGGCATTGTTTCAGAGCCCCCTTTACCATCTACAGCCAATGATGCACTTTGAATTTTATAGCTCCCAGGCCTGCCTGCTAACGTCCATTTCATGGAGGTTTAAGCCATAACACGAAAATTCTCCAGCCATGTTCAACTCAGAGCCACAGCATCCTATAGAAATGTTACAGAAAAAAGTGATACAAACTTTAACTTCCAGAGACTCACTATTGGGTGTGTTTAAAAATCTTCAGGCTACTCTGCACGCTGATAAATTTGTCTTGGAATCCTGTAACATGAGTTTTTTGTAAGGGATGAAAAATGTCCGAATAAAATTATCCCTTATCTTTATCTGCAGCCACTCAAAACGGAGGCATGCACTGCACGGAATTTACCCACTGAGAGGAACTGATTGGTTCATTTACATATTTTCAATCTAGAGAATGATAGGTATGTTGCCAGAGCTTGGTTTAGCCGTCTAGCATGAGAACTGTGAATCATTAGTTGTATCAAGCAAAAAGGACCTTGGCTTCCTAAGACTGGAAATAGGAAGGAAAATTCTTGAAAGTTTTTTCCCTCTTTTTAGAGCATTTATGGTATTTTATTTTTATTTATTCACACTGCTTGCTGTGTGATCAAACGACTTTTTCTTTGTTGTATATTTAACTCTCTGGGGTTGTTTTATTTCCTTCCTTTCTTTAATGTTTCCCTCATGTTTAATTTACATCATTTGCCTTTTATCTTCCTCAGCATCTCGAGCTATTTCTCTTCTCTAACCTTTGTTCTCTTGCTGCACTGAATTAAAAAAAAAAAATGCACTAAGGAAAAAGCCTATTTCCAAGCCAGCAGCTATGGCTGTACCTTAAATACAAGCAACATCCACCCACCAAATGCTGACACCTTTTCCTTTAAGAGCAATGAAGCTTAGTTGATGCGTAGTCACTCCCAGGTGTCTTTGGGTGTTGGTTATTTAATCAGTAAGTAATAGTGTGCTTCTGGCTCAGCTCCCAGGAAGAGAAGGGGTCACAGCCCAGGGGAAGGCATTGGGCCCACGGAACTGCTTTTCCCCGTGTTTAGGGTCTCTGGGCTCAGGTAAAAAAGGACCTTTGTGCACTTGGGAGCAGAGGTATCTGCTGATTGCTTTAATGGCTTTTGCAACCAGACACCATGCAAATGTTCTTGCAAATAGACTTGTGAGCACAGCCTTGTTGGCTCTGCCTGCTTGAGCCTTTTGCTGCATACCTGGGTGAGCACACTCCTTCCCACCTGAGGTGGAGAGTGGGCCCTGGTGAGGCTCGGCCCCTGGGACGGAGTGATTTATTACTGCCTCGACTCACGGTCATGTCCATACAGCGAGGGAGCTCTCGACTCTGCAGGGCTGCAAGCAGCCTGCGATTTAACTTTGGAAGCTATGTAAAACATTCTTGCTGTGAATTCCTAGCTAGAACTATTCTGGCAGTTGCTGTTGATTCTTGCCTATTTCACCGAAGTGAGAATTTCTTTGAGATTATTTTTAACATGTGTCCCCTGATGGTGCCACCGTGGAAAAGCATCAGCCACTCCCACCTCCCTGCTCTTGAACGAGAAGCCTGCTCTCATGGAGTCTGTCTTTGAACCTGGCCGGGAGAAGTGCTTTAAGGGGAAATGAGGCCAAGGCCCTGTGTCACAGAATGGCCCCCAAGCTCTGGGCTGTCAGCTACCCAGTGCAGTTACCTTCCCATACATAGTTCAAGGAACTGGAAAAGCCCCTGTGGTGAGGGTGGCGTGCTTTGTTCTGTAGCCAAGGAAACCATGTGTCTGACTCGCCATTGTTGCATCTAAAGGAAGCATCAGGTGCTGCCTCCCTATTGTCAGAGAACTTTTGTCATAAGAGAGTTCCCTTTCTTTAGTCTCGTACCAGAGCCTTGGTGGAAGTTGTTGTGGGTATCTTTGTTTTTCTGTTCAAGAAGCAGAGTGGTTGCCCCTCTGTCTGCTGGGGAGAACTGAGATACGCCACGACCAGAAATACAACCCAGAGCTTCCCTGGCCCTCTGTGGCACACAGGCATCCATTTGGCCAGAAGCCCTTTCCTGTTGGTTCTGAAGCCTCTGAACCCCAATACATATTGGGACTCCATGACTCTTTGTCAACAACTTTTTCATTTGTGAAGTGGGTATGGTCGTATCCATTTCTAAAACTAAAAGTGAATATGGTTGTACGTATTTCTAAAACTTTCTCTTAAATGGCTGCAATCACCAGGACTGGGCCAGACCAAAGTCTGGAGCCTGAAACTCCTTCAAGGTCTCCCACATGGGATTAGGGGCTCAAGGACTTGGGTCATCTGCTGCTTTTCCTGGGTATATTAGCTGGGAGCTGGGATGGAGGTTCTATACTACAATGCTGGCCAGTGTTTTGGGGATTATTGGAAGAACAAACTAAATGGTATATGTGAATACCCAACCTAGTGTTCGTTCTGTTTAAGCAAAATGCTATCCATTTCTTGTACCCTAAACTCTGTGGATTACTCCTGTAGATGATATGGTATAAGTTCATATTGTGGTCCAAGTTTGTATCTCCCAGAATGCAAATGAGAAACGAGAGAGCCAATCGCAAAACATTTCGCTGGATTTCTGAGTCATGAGTTTTAAGCTGGTGTGACCTACAATGCCCTCTAATCTCATCAGACATGGTCAGCTCGTGTTTTGTTTTTGATGTTAGTGATGCTGGCAGGGGAAAGTTACTTTTGGAAAGCGCGCTAGGGAAGCTTGCAGCCAGAAGCCTCTAGTTAGACTACAGCCTTCCAGCTTTTCCCATCTTCTGGAGGTGTCTTCCAGCTTGTGTCTGGATTTTCAGCCAACACTTTGACTTTTATTTTGTCTTCCATAAACAGAGGTCTCAACCTTGGAAGGTAGGCAAGCATTTCTGAGACAATGGTTCCTGAAGGGGGGGGGCATCTACATATTTATATATGCAAGATGAAATGTGGGAGGAGTACCTTAAAGCTTAATTTGCGTGCCTTTTTAAAAGAATAAATTAAGCTCTCCCCGTACTTAATACGTGGATGGAGACCGATATCCTTGGGTAGTGTGATTAGCAGAATGTCAAAGGTTGGCAACTGCTCATTAATTTGTGACATTTAAACTGTTTGAATGCCCAGCCTTAGCTGTTGATGGTAAGATTCTAAAATATTACCTTACTTTTTCCCCCTAGCACCCATGTGGGTGATAAGTTTGCTCAAGAGGGACTCAGAGCCCACAGCCACACAGGGGCAGCATGGGAGTTGAACCTATGTTGAAGTCCCAGCTCCTATCCAGGACCAGCACTGTGACCCCATGTCTGGCTGAATCCATCTGTATAGTGAGAGTGTGTGCTCTGGGCTAGTTGATCAATAAGCAAGGCCCCTTCCTTTAAAGTTCTCAAATAAAGTTACTTTGTGTCTCCTTCTTGCCCTTCTTGCTTTCCGGTCAGTTTGCACAGCTTTGGCTGTTGGTCTATCAAGACCGTCCTTATAATTCTCCTAGTCACTGCACTGACGTCCTTCTTAGCCAACCTGTTGAAAGTGTCTTTCTATTTTTAAGATTTATTTGTTTTTATTGCAAAGTCAGATATATAGAGGAAGAGAGACAGAAAGTTCTTCTGTCTGTTGACTCACTCCAAGTGGCTGCCAACAGTGGGAGCTACATCGAACCAAAGCCAGGAGCCTGGAGCTCTTCCAAGTCTCCCATGCGAGTGCAGAGGCCCAAGGCTTTGGGTTGTCCTCAACTGCTTTCCCAGGCTACAAGCAGGGAGTTGGATGGGAAGCAGGGCTGCCAGGATTAGAACCGGTGTCCATATGGGATTCTGGTGCATTCAAAGCGTTAGGCCACTGCTCCGGGCCTGAAAGTGTTCTACTCAACTGTAGCAGGTTCCTCTTCTCAGAGAATCCTGTGTTCAAATGTTTATTCTGTTATCACACATCAGGAAACTCAAGGTTTTTCTTTTTAAAATCAGATCTGGTCTCTGCTTTAATTTTCTTGTTAACTAGGTGAGCAGAAGGTTCTTTCTTGAACCATCACATTGGCAATTAGAGCACTCTTACCAGCCACCAGCATTTCTGGTTCATTTACTAACAACTAGTATAAAACTGAGCATTTACCTGGGGCCTATTGGAACGTTAACTATGTGTGTTCTGTCATGCCCTCAAGTCCTTGTACTCCTGCTTCACAGATAAAGCAGCTGGGGCTTGCCGAGGCTGTGCGACCTGCCTCAGACTGTGGTTGGAACGCCTGTAGTACTGCTGTTACTCAGTGTCTTGAAACATTTCCTTTACTTGGAAGTTGTCTGAGCCAGGGAGCAGTTGAGGATGCCACTCACTTAAAATCTCCCTTCCTAAAGAGGGAAGATGTTTTCTTTTGTTCTGTCATCTGTTTACTGTCCTTTCCTTTGTCTGTGTTTGTAAATAAAGAGAAGCAAGCTGGTCAAAAGAGAGGGCAAGAGTTGAACTGTTGGTGGCCTCCTGGGAAACGCACACTTTGATAGAGAACCCTGGAGTGGCAGATGGTGAAGCCACACCTATCTTTGCAGTTCCTTCTATGGAATTAGTCCCCAGATCCTGCTTCCACTGTGTCTAACTCTTGGCTCAAATAAACAACTTTAGAAAACCATGGTTATTGAAACTCCTGGACCAGTACAGTGGCATGGCAAGCTAAGCTTCTGCCTGTGCTGGGCATCCCATATGGACTCCATGTCAAGTCCACACTGCTGGTGTGCCGTGGGCCATCTGCACCCACATGGCAGACCTGGAAGAAGCTCCCGACTTCATACCAACCCGGCTTTGGCCTTTGCAGCGATTTGGAGAGTGAACCAGCAAATGAAGGAACTT